ACCAATGCAACACTATAACGCATTCAAGTCGGAAACCTTATTCTGTGAAATACATAATAGATACGTGTTATGTTTTGTATAATGTGATGTTAAAAATTCAGAAACACTCTGTTATCCAAAAACATTTGAATGGTGAACTGTAGTGTCTGTGTTCAAGAAAATAATATCAATTTCTTTTATTCAGCTACTTCAGTTTTAAAAATTAAACTATTAATATAGAAATGTCGCCAGAATTTTCTTGTTGACTTTTTATTAGATAACCCTCTAACGCAAACTATGAGATGGTAATCCACCTTATATATATATATATCATAATCTATGACCGAAGTTTGTGGTAATTAATCTGTTTAATTTCATTTCACGATCTTTAACTCAAACCTTGTATATTTCAAGATCTATAATTCAAGTAATAACTCCATGGTGGATATCGGGGAATTTCTAACTCAAGTAATAACTCACCTGCTGTATTTCGCGATCTCTAACTGAAGTGGTAACTCGCCTAGTGTATTTCAATATCTCTAACTCAAATAATAATTCACTTGATATAAGTCACTGTCTTTAACTCACATAATTACTCATTCGATGTATTTCAGCATCTCTAACTCAAATAGTAACTCGCCTGGTATGTTTCTCGATCTTTAACTCAAGTAATAACTCACCCGGTTTACTTCAGTATCTCTAACTCAAGTATATCTCATTGTTTTCTTCGGCATTTCGAATTCAAGAAACAAATCTCATGGTATTATTCAGTATCCTCAATGTAAATATGATTTATAACCATCTTATATTTCACGAATATCTAGTGCAACATAACTGATAACTCTCATGTGATATTTCACGATCTATAGCGCAGGGATAACCTATATACTCTACGATAAATAAAAGGTGTGATTTGTATGTGATTCTTGTTGTTGATAATGCGATAATTCACATCCTTAAAGGTATAAATTTATACCAAATAATAGTCCACTATGTTGATATGTGTGTAAAAGTGTGGATTTTTGAACAGTATAGAAAGTCATGGACGTGGTTTGTGAAAATTAAACAAAAAACAACTGTTAACAAAAACACTTTCATTAAGATAATTTTATTATAGCTATAAAGTTTTGTGAACATAACGTCTTTCAGAAGAAAGTAACTACAAAATGTACACGTTTACCTTTAACTTACTTCTATGGAATATGACTTTGTAATTATATTACTATTTATTTCATAATACTTTCGTGGACCTAGGCCCGGCATGGCCAGGTGGTTAGGGCACTCGACTCGCAATCTGCGGGTTCGAATCCACGTCACACCAAACATGCTCGCCCTTTCAGCCGTGGGGGCGTTATTATGTGACGGTCAATTCCACTTCGTTGGTAAAAGAGTAGCTCAAGAGTTGGCGGTGGGTGGTGATGATTAGCTGCCTTCCTTCTAGTCTTACACTGCTAAATTAGGGATGGCTAACGCAGATAGTCCTCGTGTAGCTTTGCGCAAAATTCAAAGCAAACATTTCATCGAAAAATGTAATTGAAGATAATCCTCTAATTCGGTGTTTTCCAAACTGGGGGCGTGGGTGGCCTTTAGGCGAGAGAGCCCAAAAAATAACGACAGAAGAAGCAGTAGAGTCAGATACGACGATAACCAAACAAAACTATCACTTTGCTCTCAAAGCTTTTTTGTTGTCGTTGTTATTATTATTTA